ATCGTTTTGATCCTTGCATCCCAGAGTAGCTATCATCGTTTCTAGCTTATTAGTCTCTCTGTACATCTGAAAGAAACATGGTGGTCCTTCGATGTGAAATTTTGAACATTACAGTATTCTATTGATGGTTTAGGGGACCATTTCAATATAAAAGGGTATCAGAAACTGTTTGTAATATGTGCTGTTACTGCTATTTTTCCTATTGCAGGAACTATACTCAGATTCTTGCAACTTGCTCTGTCCATTTATCTTAAAGTGCCTCTATAGCTGTGCTCTGTGCCTCTTGTACTGCTAGACCTTTGACTGTGTTCTTACTTCTTAGTAAAGAAAAGACTAACTTCATCTTTAATTTTGTTCATGCAGAAATTTTCATCAATTTTGTTACTACGGCTCGCGTTTCAAAGCCTTGGGGTAGTATTTGGTGACTTAGGTACATCACCATTGTATGTTTTCTACAATATCTTTCCACATGGTGTTGACGAAGATGAGGATGTGATTGGAGCTCTGTCCTTGATCATTTACACACTCACTCTCATCCCTCTGATGAAGTATGTTTTTGTCGTCTTGCGAGCTAATGATAATGGTCAAGGTGAGATATGGCGTCCTTGTATTTTACCCTAGTCTGTCGCCTCATATGATTTCTTTGGTATTTGCAAGAATTATGAGTGCTCTTGTCGCATTTACACATTTGCAAAGTATGAGCTGATAGCTCGCAGAGATTTTGCAATTTTACCATCTGGTTTGGTTGGCAGAATCTCATGACAAAACATCGCTCTAGTGATTCAAAGGATTTGTGTCGAGTATCAACATGGTTTAAATATGAGATGTCAGAGTGATTGCTATACATCACTTTACTAATCATGAAATCTGTAGAAGGTGAAACTCTAAGTTCATTTTAGATTTTACTTTGTGCTCGGACAAGAAATACTTCTCCTTCGGTTGGTATAGTTTGTTTTCACAAGTTTTCTGACAAACATTTCTTTTTCTGGTTATTCACAGGTGGCACATTTGCTCTTTATTCTCTGCTGTGCCGGCATGCAAAGGTCAGCACTATACCCAACCAACATAAGACAGATGAAGAATTAACAACTTATAGTCGGCAAACTTATGAGGAGAATTCACTTGCAGCAAAAGTGAAGAAATGGCTAGAGGGGCATGCATATAAAAAGAACTGTCTTCTTATTCTCGTTCTCATTGGTACCTGTACCGCCATTGGAGATGGGATCCTTACTCCTGCAATATCAGGTATTCAGAATCATAGTTTATGAGTAAATCCAATGTAACTGCGATCTAAGCTGTATTTCTATGTGTTATGCAGTTCTTTCAGCAGCAGGTGGAATAAGGGTTCAGAATCAGAATATGAGTACAGGTATTTTCCTTTTCTTTTCTGTATGGTTATATCTTTGTTCTTTGTCGACTCTGGTGGGCTGTTTCCTTGATCTGGTGAGGAGCATAACTTACTTTACCTATGCTGATTGTTGTAATATCTTCCATTTCTGGCAGATGTGGTTGTAATCGTCGCGGTGTTCATATTAATTGGCTTATTCTGCATGCAACACTATGGGACAGATAAAGTTGGGTGGCTCTTTGCACCATTGGTGCTCCTTTGGTTTATTCTAATTGGGAGCGTTGGGTTAGTGAACATACACAAATACAACAGTTCTGTTCTAAGAGCATATAATCCAGTCTACACCTTCCGGTATTTCAAACGAGGCAAGTCTGAGATTTGGACATCTCTTGGAGGGGTCATGCTTAGCATCACAGGTCATTGGCAATTCAACTGTAACTTCTGCATCAATTGTAAGATGAAACAGAGTTAACTATATGCCTTTTCTATCCAGGGACTGAAGCATTGTATGCTGATCTATGTCACTTCCCTGTACTGGCTATTCAGGTGAGTGTTTAACCAAAAACATTATGAATTATGATAATAGCTCAATGAATTAATCATGTCTATGTCCAGATTGCGTTCACCTTAGTGGTGTTCCCTTGCCTTCTACTGGCGTACACTGGGCAGGCTGCCTACATTATTGACCACAAGGATCATGTAGTTGATGCCTTCTACCGCTCCATTCCAGGTCCTTCTGAAATCTAAACAAATCTGATCCATCTTGTATGTAAACAGCTATACCACCATATCAAGCCCACTATGCGCAAATTGGCATAGTGCTGATCCCACAACTGCTACTGTATGTTAATGCTTTGTGCACTTCTCTATACTAAAGTTGAGATACTCTCACTGCAGAGGCCATATACTGGCCAGCCTTCGTCATAGCAACTCTTGCGGCAGTAGTTGCAAGTCAAGCAACCATATCTGCTACCTACTCAATAATTAAGCAAGCTCTTGCACTGGGCTGTTTCCCCCGTGTCAATGTTGTGCATACCTCGAAGAAATTTCTGGGGCAGATTTACATCCCTGACATCAATTGGGTACTTATGATTCTTTGCATTGCTGTAACTGCTGGATTCAAGAATCAAAGCCAGATAGGAAATGCATATGGTCAGTTTTACTTCTTTTTTATTATTTCCTTGCATATTTGAATATGCAACTGAAAAGGGTGAAGTTGGTTTGTGTCTATCATGCTTTCAGTACACTTGACATGGAACACATATCAGTTTACACGTTAGTGGGACCTTGTAGGTTTTTTTTTTTTTTTTTGTTAAGCAAACACTGTAGTTTCTTTTCGAGTCATAGTACAAACATAGATGCTCACAAACACACACGTATGTACATACTACCTCTATGAACAGTCATCACAGACGTCTCATTGTGGATGGCTACCATTAAAAGAATAGAGCCGTTGAATCCACTATGTCAATTTTAAAACATTTTTTTATGAACCTTCTGGAAGCACTTTGCATTCAATACACGGTATGAATATGATACTTATTTGAATGTAATGTTGTCTGAGCAGGCACTGCAGTGGTGATTGTTATGCTAGTTACAACATTTCTCATGGTCCCAGTGATGCTGCTGGTATGGAAGAGCCACTGGATACTTGTTGTCATCTTCCTTGTACTCTCCTTGACGGTTGAGCTCCCATACTTCACGGCCTGCATAAATAAAGTGGATCAAGGTGGCTGGGTTCCACTAGTCATCGCAATAACCTTCTTCGTCATCATGTATGTGTGGCATTTCTGCACCGTGAAGCGTTATGAATTTGAGATGCACAGCAAGGTCTCTATGGCTTGGATTCTGGGACTAGGGCCAAGCCTTGGCCTTGTCAGGGTCCCTGGGATAGGCTTTGTGTACACAGAGCTGGCAAGTGGCGTCCCTCACATCTTCTCCCATTTCATCACCAACCTCCCTGCCATCCACTCGGTTGTTGTCTTCGTTTGCGTGAAGTACCTCCCGGTATATACAGTGCCGGCCGAGGAACGGTTCATCATGAAGAGGATTGGGCCAAAGAACTACCACATGTTCCGCTGCGTCGCAAGGTATGGATACAAGGACATCCACAAGAAAGACGACAACTTTGAGAAGATGCTCCTCGACAGGCTCCTGATCTTCGTCAGACTGGAGAGCATGATGGACGGCTACTCCGACTCCGAGGACTTCACCATGATGGAGCAGAAGGCCGAGAGATCCACCAGATCACTTCAGCTGACCGATAAGGCTGGGGGCAACACGATGAGCTCCATCGGTGACCTGAGCTACTCATCACAGGACTCTATTATTCCAGCCAAGTCACCCCTGACCGGGAACAGCCTGACAAGGTACTCAAGCCAGACATTCGGCGACGAGCTGGAGTTCCTGAACCGGTGCAAGGACGCCGGCGTCGTGCACATCCTCGGGAACACCGTCGTGCTGGCGCGCAGGGACTCGGGCATCGTGAAGAAGGTCGCCGTGAATTATGTGTATGCCTTCCTTAGGAAGCTGTGCAGAGAGAACAGTGTGATCTTCAATGTCCCACATGAAAGCCTCCTGAATGTAGGGCAGATATACTATATATGAACAATTTCTTTTATTCTATTGTTCGGTTTTGAAGTGAGAGCAGTTCTGACCTGCTACTGCGCTGTGCTGGGCGGATGAACATTGTAGATGATGATAAGTCCTAGAGTAAAGCTTTTAGTCAGTTTTGTGAGTTTCTAGAGCACATAGATTACTTACTGGTGTTGCCGTTGGTACATTCTGGATGAGGCTTGCTGATTGCTGTATCCAAATGCCATTTCTCTTTAGTAAGACAAATTGGTTTTCCCTGACCAAATGTCAACCATTGCAGCTGCATACATCATGCAACTGTCCGGCTTAGAAAAATAGTCATGTCAGATCAGCTTATCGGGAGTATGTTGATACTTGCTCCGTTCACCAAACAATGCAATTCTCGCTTTTCGATAAGTAGCAATTTGAACTTTGACTGAATTTGTATAAAAAAAAATACTAACATTCATGATATAAAATAAATATCATTAGATTAGCTATAGAATATATTTTTATAATATATTTGTTTGAGACATAAATATTAATATTATTCACTATAAATTTGATTAAATTTAGAGTAGTTTGATTGTCACGATTCCCATAATTATATTTTTCTGTGGAGGGAGGGAGTATATAGTATCACAAAACGAAGAAAAAGCACATATATAGGCAGTTACTGGTTTCAGACACTCATGTAGAAACCTGATAAATTAAGCCTCGAATAAAAAAAAGATTTAGCTGAGTTGACATCTCTAAAATCCCTCACAGAATGCAGGAAAATAAGCATATTCTTACAAAACGTTTCATCCGAACTAGGAGTACCTCAACTCCTCAGAGGCCTAGCTTACTATTGTACTGTCACCACCATTCATTCCTGCTGGTCGCGCCCACCGTGAGAATTCTGCTGGTGGTGGTGCTCCGGCGGCGGCGGCGCCCACATGTACGTTACAGGCTGCATGTTGACATACGTTGCAAAAGGGACGGACGACGTCACCGGAGCCAGGCCGTAGGCTGGCAGTGGCGGCACAATGACTGGCACGGCCGTCGTCGTCGCTGGCGGCACGCCGTCCCCCCTGGACTACAAGCGTTCCTCCTCCGGCACGATGTCGGTGAGGACATCGTAGGTCTCGGTGCTGTGGATCGCGGCGGTGACATCGCCCCGCTGCAGCGTCCGGCGCCTGGCGCCATCGGCGTGGAGCCACGCCCGCAGCGTGAGCTCGAGGATGAACATCTCGCAGGCCCTGGCGAACACCGCGGGAGCCTCGGCCGCGACCATCTTGACGTCCGCGTCGGCCTTCATGATCTTCTTGATCCGCGCCAGCGGGAGGCTGTGGTAGGCCTTGAGCTTGACCTCGCCCGCCTCCGCCTGCTGCTCGGCCTCGGCGTGCTGGCCCGCCCAGAACGCCTGCAGCTGCTCCTCCTGGCGGTGCTGCTGCTGCTGGAACGCGATCTCGTGTGGATTTGAGAACGGCGGCGGCGGAATGGTGGCTGGGTAGGCTGCAGCGCCGCTGGCCTGCAGGGAGGCTGGGAACGGAACAAAGGCGACGCTGCCGGCTGGCGATGGAGGAGGCACTGAAGCCAGTGGTACAGGTTGCTGGTCGTCGTATGTTGTTAGAGCATATGAAGCTGCGCTGTCATCAGTGTCACCACCATTCGTGGCACCTTCGTTTGCCTTGGCCTGTGAGGTTTGATCCATGTCGTCAAAATGCACCTCGCACACACTGATCAGTGCGCAGCTGCTACTGTCGGACCTGTCATTTGGAGAAGATTATACACGGTCAGTTCAGTGTAACCTCCAAATCAGAGCTGTTATGAACTGATGATGCTAGCATTATTTTATTTCATAGAATCGTATAGGTTGGTATACATTGACACAAAATTGTCCCCGGTAAGAGAACTTCAGAACACGGTTAAGAAAGCAACAAAAATTATATGAAGAGGTAACAACAGAGCCAATGCAAGTTATAATGTATTGCATGAACATAAAAATACATATGCTCATTCTTTTACATTGTTATAATAAGGTGATGATGGTCAGTGGCGGAGCGTGCCAGAAAATCATGTGGGGCCAATCTGAGTTGCTACTCAAGACCATGCATATTCACTTTACCATCTGCTGTGTTGCGAGTGCTACTTGACCACATGCTTCTTTTAGTTGGGCCACCACACAGCCCACTTAGTCATACCCCCTTCAACACCGTTGTTATTCCATGTCCTGTTTACTTTCTCCAACAGTGGCCATAAGGCGATGTGTTGACGATGGGCATGAGGAGACCTAGGACACCGAGCCTGCCGAGGCGGAGGAGACCTAGGACACGGCAAGACCTCACCTCGCCGCACCTTGGACACCGCACGTGTCTGCTTTCTTATGGTTGGAGGGATCCAATCCAAGGCTCGGCTGTCAGATGGGCCCGGGCGCAGTTGTGGTAACAAATTCCATAGTCCATACCGAATTACTGTAGTAGCATGATCCAAACGGATCGAAGCACGTATCGACTTCCAATTTTGAATTAGACCGGGAGGGGAATGAAACCAAAGAATTCCTCTTTTTATTAGGCCTTGTTCAATTAATCTGAAAAATCAGGAGGGATTGAAGGAGATTTCTGTTTGAGGATTAACCAAACAAACCCGTAGTATGTCCTTGCAAGTGTTTGGGGACCAAGGCCCTGTTCGCTTTGCTGAAAAACCATGGCTGAAAGTACTGTTTACTGATTTGTTGTAAGAGAAAAACACTGATCGTTCGCTGAAATAGTACGGCTCATAAGACATGCGAACATGACCTAACTCCATTTCAAAACACTCCTGGTCCAACGAAATCCATGAATTCAAAGGGCTAGATTATTCATTGATTGATTTGGTGGGCCAGTTTACAAATCCACGTTTAAAGCATTCCTCATCAAGTTGTCAAATTACCGGTTTGTTGCTAGTCATTACCCACCACATTATCGTCATGAAATTTAGGGGTGTTAAAAAAATGTAGAGTTAGTGCTTGCTCATAAATTAGTCTCGTTGTTTTGGAATCAGCTTCCAACTATAAACGAGCCAAACTTAAAACCCAACTAAGGCCTTGTTTAAATCCAGGGTACAGAGTTTTAGGGTGTCACGTGAAGGTGTCGCATGGGGTGTTCGGATACTAATAAAAAACAAACTACAAAATCCGTCAGTAATCCGCGAGACGAATTTATTAAGCCTAATTAATCCGTCATTAGCACATGTATTACTATAGCACTACATTGTCAAATCATAGACTAATTAGGCTTAAAAGATTCGTCTCGCAAATTAGTCGCAAACTGTATAATTGATTATTTTTTTAATCTATATTTAATACTCTACGTACGTATCAAACATTCATTAAAATAAAAAGTAAACTTTAAGGGAGGAACCTAAAGCTAATATCCTTTCTGTCTGTGTGTGTGCATGTGCGGTGTGCCCTTCTAGAGAACACATGATGCACCAAACTCGGTTAGGGACACACTCGAGGCAAACTCGATTTGAGATGTTACGAAGTAAATCATTATCGTCTCATTGGAATGCGTGCTTTTTAAAAAAAATCCTATATTTTCTTAATAAAATTGAATAAATCCCAGTAAAATTTACTATGCACGATTTCTATCGAATTTCTGCGTTCAGTACCTTGCCAAAAAAAAACCCTGCGTTGAGCAAAGGCCAAAACGTCACTTCTTGGCTCGTTGACAGCCCCAGTGGCTGCAGCCTAGCAGGGCCACTCGACCAGTACATTTCTTTTGGGCCCTGTGGAGCCCAGCCATATTTGGCCCATCTGAAAGATGAGTTCCTCGCTTTATTATCCCTCAAAAATCTCCATCCCCATTAGAAAAAGCGACAGAAAGGGTTTCTAATAATAAAAAAAAGAAAAAGCGATGGAAAAAGGTGCCAATAAACTACGAGGATGCCGATTTATCTCGTCTCCTCTCCCGCCGCCGCCAAGCTCGCCGCAGGAGGCCCACACGCACCCCGGCAGCGGCGGCGCCAGCTCCTCTTCCGTGCTCCCCACCGCCCCGTACTCTTTCTCTCTCCCTCTGCTGTTTTTGAGCTTCCTTCTTTCTACTTACTGATTCGTGAGCGGGCCGAGCTTTGGTTTCTCACAGAGCCGCCGCGCCCCCCTGCTGTCTTCGGCCGCCGAGTACCCGGCAGGGCGCGCCATGGCTGCTGCGGAGGCCGGAGCGTCCACGGCGACCGATTCGAGGCTCAGAGGTGGGTGCTTGTGCCTCCTGGTTTAGTGGTTTGGCACTGCTGCCTTGGTGGATAGCTGGATTGGTGCACAAGCAGAAAGATTCGGTTCTCTCTTCATTAGTTTAGAGGGAATGTGGCGATCATTAGGAATATGCTTTTCCTGACTTCCAACCAAATGTCTTTGCAGTTTGTACGATACTGGTTTAGGTCGCTGTTGCACTTGCTGCAGTTTATTTCCCTCTGAAAGATCGAGTGGCGAATGGTGGCTGTGTCGGGATCCAGAGGCTAAAGTTTAGCAGTGTCAAATCAGACGTTCGAATGCTAATTAGGAGTACTAAACATAAGTTAATTATAAAACTAATTGCACAGGACTAGACTAATTAGTGAGACGAATCTATTAAGCCTAATTAATTCATAGCACCACATTGTCAAATAATGGACTAATTAGACTTAATAGATTCGTCTCGCAAATTAGCCTCAATATGTGTAATTAGTTTTGTAATTAGCCTATGTTTAATACTCCTAATTGGTATCAAAGATTCGATGTGACAGGGCTAAACTTTTGCCCAAAGGAAGCAAACACAGTGTTAGTTTGATTAGGCCTAACTGTTATATGCTTGGTTGGGTCTTTGGGATCACTCCAACCCTTCCCAGTCCTTAATGTGCAAGCGTTTGGAAATGATTCAGTACTATGGTTCTAGCAGTTACAAGTTCAGCTTGTTGGGAAGTTGTACCTGCTATTTTAAAAATTTAGCTGGTAATCTAGGTGGTAACCAAACAAGACAGATTATAGATGTAGGTTATATAATCTCATAAGCTGCCTGGGGTAGATTATCAGATTATATAATCTACCAACCTAGGGGTTGCCAAACAGGGCCTTAGTCATGACACAATCTATGTGTGATTTTCTTCCTTAATTAAGAGCATCCGCAGTCAGAGTTCTGTTCTGTTTGTATAGAACCTATGTGCTGAAGACCATCAGAATGTCAAATGTCATATAGAGTTTTGCTGCTCCAAGGTCTCATGTTTATGCAGCGCCATTACTCATTCAGGATTAAATGGCCCCTTGGTGGTGCAGTCTAGAGTTCAAACACATATATCCAAACTTGAATATTCATTACTCTATGTTGATCATGATAGTCAGTCACTTTGTATTCATGATATCCTTTTGTTCTTGTTGTTTGAGTTCCATCCAGAATTTTTTGTCTTATTAAGGATTCTAGTGTTTGCACTTTGAAGAAATAGATTGAGATCCATTACATACTTAAAAAAAGGGCGTACCCAGTGCAAAGAGCTCCCGCTCTGTGCGGGGTCTGGGGAAGGGTGTCAGTGGCAAGCCTTACCCTCGCCTGTGCAATGCGAGGAGACCGCGACTCGAACCCGGGACCTTCTGGTCACAGGTGGTAAGACTCTACCGCTTGCACCAGGCCCGCCCTTCAGATCCATTACATACTTACGTTCCATAAAATTTTATGTACTCTCTCCCACTTACCTCATTCGTAAATCAACAGATAAATTTTGTATTATGGATTAGTAATCAATTCCAATGTTTTTAAGGCGTCACTTTGGCGTTGCCTAATCGGCAAGGCGCTACAGGCGGGACGACTTGGCGGACGACTTGCCTCAGATTGGTATGGCGTCCGCCTTACTACCATGGCGTCCGGAAGTCATCGATTTGGCGTCCGATTCGTCGAAATCGAGCAAGGCGGGCGCCATACGGGGATGGCCACAGTAGGAAAACGTGGGCGCGGGAGAAAGGACGGGGAAAGTGCAGGCGCGCGGGAAAGCATCGCGCGCGCGGGAGATTAGGCGCGCGAGGAGAGAGGAGCGCAGGAGAAATCAGAGAGCAGAGAGAGGAGCACTCGCAGGGAAGACGGACCTACCTGCTCGCCCGCGCGAACGCGTTCGCCCGTGCCGCCGGTAGAAGCTGCTGCCGCCGAGGCTCCGCCTCCCCCTCCCCTGTTCCCCATCCGCGCGAGGAGCAGCCGCCGGCGGGCTGCTGTTTCCCCGTCGCCTCTTCTGGTCCTCCATTGAGCAGGACACGAGCCGCTTCGCCTCTCCCTTCCCTCTTCCCCACCCGCGCGAGGAGCAGCCGCCAGCGGACTGCTGTTTCCCCACCTTGTCGCCTTATGCACATGCTGATGCCCCCTCGATTCCGCCGTCTCCTCATTGATTCTGATGCGGGTCCTCTCTATTCTGCCGTCTCCTCGTCGATTCCGCTCAATTGGGCCGTCTCCTCGCCGTCGCCTGCTCGATTCCGCCTTCTCCTCGCCATCGGCTGCTCGATCTGGAAGGGGATGGCGGCGACTATAGATCTGGAAGGGGAGCAGCGAGGGAGGGGAGCAGAGCAGCGCATCCGGAGAGAGGGGAGGAGCCACGGACGGAAGCGGAGCCGCAGAGGGAAGTGGAGCGGCGGAGAGACAAGCGGAGGCGGACGAGTGGTGGAGAACGAGGAGCAACGCTGGAGGGGATCCCCGTTGGGATAAGCCACGTCAGGAGGGGGAGGGGCACATGGGCCGTCTGGTGGGCTGGGCCAGCCCACTTCTTACTCCTCCTCTCTTTTTCTTTTTTCCTTTTCTTTTTTCTTCATCATCTACTACTCTAAGCTGTTGTTTTAAGTTTTTCTTAAATCCGTAAGGCGTCGCCTCACCTCACGCCTTAGTCGCCTAAGCGTAAGACGGTAGTCACTCGCCACGCCTCGCCTTACCGCCTTAAAAACATTGATCAATTCTGAAAAAAACTATGGACTAAATATAAGTTTCTACATCTACAGGAGTGAAGCAAGCACTGATATCGTTGTCAGATAAAACAGACCTGGCTACTCTTGGAAATGGTCTTCAGCGTTTGGGGTAACCCTTTTATCTTCTGGTCATTTAATGCGCCGTTACTTTGAATTGTATAATCCACAATCGGTTGCATGTTTTTTGAGCTTGTGTTAGATTTGTTGGCTGCAAGTATTTCTGTGTTTTATTTATTATTGTGTCATTATATAATCATTCATCATGATAAATTATTGCGAAGTAATCCCTAACTTATCTCAACCCTTTCACAAAGTATTTTTCCTTATGATAGTTTCTCTCTCCACGTGCATGTTTTTCATTGGTTAACAGTTCATATATGGATATTGCATTTAGTAAAATATTTAGCAAAGTATGGGTTTATATTAGATTAAACATGGATTCAGATTTGTCTTTATTTTGATATTTTTTTATTATACTCATATAAAGATTTTGCTCCTGTAGGTTTTCTATTATTTCCACCGGTGGCACGGCATCAAGTTTGGAAGCATCTGGAGTTAATGTTACAAAAGTTGAAGAAATTACACACTTTCCTGAAATGGTAAAGCCTAATTCATGCTAATTTTGCAGCATTTTTGAAAAATATATATTTATTACAAACATTGTTATCAGTTATCACAGTCAGTTTAGTGATGCCTGAACAAAGTTTGTTGGAAATTTTGCAAAATGCATTACTTGTAATGGTTCTTAAAACATGTAATAGATGTAACTCTTTTACTCTTGCTATTTTTCAAAAGTATATCAAGAATCAAATGTAACAATTGTCCTGTATCATTCCAATCCTTCTCTTATGTGTCTCCTCAATTCTCAAAGTGGTTGTCTGAATAACTGGTCAGAATACTGCATAATTCCAACTTTGTAATTCCATGCTTACTAGATGTTCCTGGTCATTTGAATCTAACCTTTATCCCTTTCACTGATTGTTTAAAACGGAAAAAACGTGTTTTTGGGTCGACTATCATGCTGAGAGCTTTCAGTAACAGTATAAATTGCACATTTCCATATCCACTAACTCTTTGGGTCGTTTCAGCTTGATGGGAGAGTAAAAACATTGCACCCCAGTATACATGGTGGTATTCTTGCGCGAAGAGACCAGGAGCATCATCTGAAAGCACTGAAAGAACATGGCATTGGTGAGTTCTTAAGTTCATCATGCAATCATCTATTAAATATTGTAATAATGTTATGACATGTCAAGTTTCATGCGATGAGGTTACAATCATTGAAGGGTGTTATTGTAAGTTGACTAGGACCTTTTCTTTGTTCACAGGGACATTCGATGTGGTTGTAGTCAATTTGTACCCATTCTATGATAAGGTCGCCTCAGGTGCAATATCTTTTGAGGATGGCATTGAAAATATTGATATTGGTGGGCCTACATTGATCCGAGCTGCTGCCAAGGTAGCTGTATTGGAATATTAGTGATTTGAAATACTTAATACTTACAAAGGAGTGCACTGGATTCATGCAAAGTTGATTTCATTTTACAATGTATCATACATGCTAATACATTACATGTTGATCTTCCACTCATTTATGCATGCAAAATTTATGTAGCAGTAATACATTTTGATAAAAATAGTTGCAGGCTTGCAGTTTGCTTACATTGTTATCTATTTCTTATGGCTGACAGAATCACAAGGACGTTCTTGTCGTTGTCGATCATAAAGATTATCCTGCTCTATTGGAATATCTAGAAGGGAAACAAGATGACCCTGATTTCCGCAGGACACTTGCATGGAAAGCTTTCCAACATGTTGCTTCTTACGATTCAGCTGTCTCAGAGTGGTTGTGGAAGCAATCAAATAAAGGTATTGGTAATTTTTTGGTAAATGTGATGCTTGTCTAATAGTTTTGTCAGCCAATTTTCACATATGCAGTATCATGATTTTGTGCAGCAGATACATTTCCTCCCAGCTTTACTGTGCCCCTCACAGTGAAGTCTACACTTCGTTATGGTGAAAATCCTCATCAAAAGGCTGCCTTTTATGGTGACAAGAGTCTTTCTCTAGTAAATGCCGGCGGTATTGCAACAGCAATTCAACACCATGGAAAGGTAAGACAAGCAGGTTTCCTTTAGTTATTACTACTACACTAAAATGGGACACAAAATCATTTAACTCATTGATGAGTATCTATGTTTTGCTTCCATGGTCTTTTGTAACTTCATTATTCCTTTTATTGGGTACATGTAAGCAGATAACTTGTTTCTAGATATTCTCAATCTTTGTGAGTACCATACCAGTACATTGATGTTTATTTTCAGGGGTTTGCAACTTTACGTACGTCACCTTCTTATACAGGAAATGTCTTATAACAATTATTTGGATGCGGATGCTGCATGGAACTGTGTCTCAGAGTTTGAGAGCCCGACTTGTGTTGTGGTTAAGCACACAAATCCGTGTGGCGTAAGCGTCTCGACGGACATCCTTGAAGCATACAGGTTGGCTGTGAAGGAGACCCTGTCAGCGCATTTACGGCATAGTTGCCTTCAATCTGACGATCGATGAGGTATTTTGTCAACCCAGCACCATGTTCCTACACAAAAGCTGCAGATCTTCTAACTGCGTCGCCCCACTATGCATAATGCATTATTGTTGACACATTGACTGACTGACATGTTTAGGATCTTGCGAGGGAAATCCGTGAGTTCAGGAGCCCCACGGACGGCGAGACAAGGATGTTCTACGAGATTATTGTCGCGCCTGGGTACACAGAGAAGGGCCTGGAGGTCCTGAAAGGGAAATCCAAGACGCTGAGGATACTAGAGGCGAAGAGGAGCGGGAAAGGCATGCTGTCGTTGCGACAGGTGACTGGCGGCTGGTTGGCTCAAGAGTCTGACGATCTGACCCCGGAAGACATCACCTTCACAAAGATGTCCGAGAGGACTCCCGAGGACAGTGAGCTTTCGGACGCGAAATTCGCGTGCCTCTGCGTCAAGCACGTTAAGAGCAACGCCATTGTGATCGCCAAGGTCAGTAGTGCACGCATGCATGCCTCTCGTCGGTTAGGTTATGTGGAGAGAGCGAAATCGCTAGCTGTACAGGTTTTTTGTTGATTCTGTGCCTGATGATGGCTGGTCGCTTCAGAACAATTGCATGCTGGGCATGGGCAGTGGCCAGCCGAACCGGCGGGAGAGCCTGAGGATTGCTTTCAAGAAGGCAGGAAAGGAGGCCAAGGGAGCTGCTTTGGCCAGCGATGCCTTCTTCCCTTTCGGTAAGAGAAAAGGAAATCTAAAAGCGCTTGCTTTAAAATTGGAATTGAAGCATTTACCGAGTAGTTGATTTCAATCAATTTTTATACGTAGAAGCAAGCACATGGTTCTGGATGCAACAAAGAACACTAAAAACATGGTTTGTTATTACTAGTTAATTACTGTGCTGCTGAACCTGCGCATGATGCAGCTTGGAACGATGCGGTGGAGGAGGCGTGCCAGAGCGGCATCGGGGTGATCGCGGAGCCTGGCGGCAGCATCCGGGACCAGGATGCCGTGGACTGCTGCAACAAGTACGGGGTGGCCCTTGTCTTCACAGGCGTCCGGCACTTCAAACACTGATGGATGGTCGCTGAAGATGAAGCCGACGACAGCGAGGGTGCAGCAGAGACTGTCACTGATGGAAGGGACCTAGCTACCTCGACCTGGGCTGATTGCTGCACTCTGGCTGGAAGGAAGAATCTGCTGTTTCCCAGGGCTGATGCCTGATGGCATTGCTTGGCTAGGGAGATTCTGATGTTAGTCTCTGTGGGTTTTAGTTGGAAACTTGATAATGAAGGTATACCCCGAAAAGAGAGATGATTCTGATGCAACCAAAGGTCTTCTCTTTTTAAGAGGATGAATCGGTGGGTTGTAGCATTCGGTTTTAAAAACAAAACTAGATACACGTTATATATGAGTTTATGAAGTCAAATCTCACATATAACTACAAATAAAGGTAATATTAAAAGACAATGCTTAAATACATAGCGTATTAGTATAAAGATTATAACCTCAGAGTATAGACAGCGGAAAGACAACTTTGATCTTAAGGTGAAGACTTTAAATCCACATGGACAACTGACTGGTTGACCACAAGCTTAATTCCTTAAAACTCTAGCAATGTGGTATCCATCCGGAATTTTTATCTAAATAATTGAAAAAAAAATAAAGCAAGCGTAAGTATATGTCGTACTCAACAAATATAACATGGGGTTTATGAGGCTTAAAAGACTGACATTGGTTTAACTGCGATTAGCTTTTAATGAGTCATGATTTTAGCAATTGAGTAGCAACAAGTTTATTCACAAGCCCATATAAACACATGATCAGGTAAACATGAATAATGAATAGCATAAACAGTAATCATTAATGAGCATCTCTATCATTAGTATCATCAGTGTTCATCATCTATTCTGTAAATGTTTTAAGACCGCTCGTGACCGTGAGCACGGCGGATATACCAGTTTTACGATCTGCAGAGGTTGTACACTTTCACTGTGAGTCGTGATTTACCCTTTCGTCCGAGGCGGCCAACCTCATGACCCACTACCAAGAAAGGTCGGTAGGGTTCACTATGAAGCCTTTCAAAGGTTCGTCTAACAAGTTAGGGCCATTAGATTCACTCGGCAAACAGATATAGGAACCCCTGTCGAATGACACAATTCCATCACAACTATACACATGAGTAGAGGCCTATACCCGATTCGTCAAGCCATTTTTACGTCAATAAAGGTAACCACTAACAAGCTAGAAAAGGTCCTCATACTGAGCTAAAGCCAGAGCCATATAGCTCTCACAGTTGTACTGTAAGTCCCGGATGATCAGTTACAGATAAGTCCTTAAGGAGAGGAATCTAGAGCACCATAAAAACAACCCAATGCTCTAGCCCCCTTGTTCCATGTTACGAAAAAATATCTTTTAGTGTTTATTACATATACCATTACCATTAGTCAAGTTACAAGATCATAGTTGTAGTTGAGCACTAGCATCATACTACCCAATGCAAAACCCCATAGGTATCAAGGCATAAGGTACAAAGTATTAGGAAATTCTTAGTTGTAACACCCTAAAATTTGCCTCTTTTGAAAATATGATTAAAATGATTTATTTTTGAATTTTTGTGCTCATAAAATATAGGAAAATAAAAATTTTCATTTAATTAAAATTCATCATAAGGTTTAGCAACGTGTTTGTGCATACATGCCGGTGCATTTGTTTCTTTGAATGGCATGGATATGATTCAAATTGAAAAATATTCCAAAATGCTTTTTGAGTTGGCTTTGAAGTAAAAGAAAAGAAAATTAGGAAATAAAAGAATTTAAAAAGTTGTAAAAATTATTTTTGAAAGTCTATCAAAATTGTTCATTTTGAATTGAATGGAAAAGTGTATTTTAAATCATGTTTATACTTGATTCGGTTCATATTTGAATTTGTTTTGAATTAAGAAAAGAAAAGGATTTAGAAAAAGAAAAGAAGAAAATTCTCCCTTTCTCTTATGAGGCCCGAGTGGCCCGTTTCTCTTTTTCTTCCCGCGGCTCAGCATTCTCCTCCCACGGGTCGTCCTTCTCCTTCCGCCTGTGGCCTTTCCCCCGCGCCTCCCGTCCTGTGTGGCCCGCGTCCCGCGCGGCTTTGCTTTCCCCCGCGCTGGCCCATCTCCCGCGTCCCGCCGCTCCGCATGGCCCAGCAGTGCAGCTGGCCCAGGTCTGCGCCGCGCCGCGCCCGCGTGTCCTTCTCCACCCCGCTGACGCGCCTGGCCCGCCCGTCAGGGCGTCTTCTTCCTCTCCGCGCCGACTCCATCTCGAGCACGACCGCGCCGACGCCGCCGTGTCCGGCTCCACTACGCCACGCGTGCCGTGTGCCCTACGCTTCCCGGCCCCATATAAGCCGAGCCGCACCTTGCACCACCTCCCTATCCCGCACCCACGCTATAGCCGCATCGTCCGAGCGCCCACAGCCGTGCCGCCACCTAGCACCGCCGTCCGCCATCGCCAGCCAAGCACAGCGCCCACCTTGCTCCTTCTCCACCGTCGAGGTTTCCCTAGGTGAGTTCGCAATCTCCTTCTCCATCTCCCAGTGTTCCCCGTTTATTTTCCCGTGGTCGGTAGTTCGTTTCCTATGTTCGTCGCCGAGCTCCCTTTGTCGGCCATGGCGCGCCACCACGTGCGGCCACTGTTTCGGCCGGCAGCCTCCTCCCTCTCCCTTCCCGATCGAATCCTGGCTGCCCGCATCTGATCTGACGGCCGATGTTCAACCATACCCCTTCGGTTGGCATACTTGCTAAAGAGACCCTCTCTTTTCTTCTAATCTAACCCGCAGTCCACTCTCCAGATCTAATCTCATCTATCCAACTCTAATCCGACGGCTTACATCTCTTCATACCCCTTCGTCTTGTAGTTTTGCAAAAGAGCCCTTATAAGTATTTAAGTCTTAACCCGTAGTCCAAAGCGTAATCATAGGTTACGTTTTCTTCTTTGAAAAGCGTCGTTTCGTCGGTTTAGATCCAAAATACGTTTTCAGTTAATTACAGTTTTGCCACTATTTTCTTTAGGCCATAACTTCTCCGTTTTAACTCCGATTTGACCCGTTCAAATTGCGTTAGGTTCATAATTTCGTAACCTACGTGTTCATACTACTGTTAAGTATGTTTTCAATTTTTAAAATTCGTGATTAGATTTAATCTATTATTTTATTAAAAGAAATCTTGTTTAATTCATATCTTCTATGTTTTAACTCCGTTTTAGCTCATTCAAGTTGCGTTAGAGTCATAGCGACGAGATCTACGCGTTAGTAACAGTGGTTACCATGTCACTATTTCTGGAATTTCATGGTTTAAACTCTAAATTGAATAATGATTATGCAATTGGGTTTTATAAATAAAATATGATTTGTTTTACTTGAGTATTATAATTCAAACTTAAACTTGACTTAATTTATATTATCTATGAAATATATTATATATGTTTTTGTATAATTAAAACACATGAAGCTAATAGTTTTATGAGTAGATCTTTCGGTAGTTGTATCTTTCCAACCGTAGCTCTGATTAGCGCGCTTTTCGCGTCTGTGTGTTCGTAGCAAGACGTAGATTCATTTTACAAACTTTTCATCTTAATTTTATGTTTGGTATACTGTTCTAATTTAGAGCTATTGTTTGCTTCGTGTATGATTGTATGGATGCTTGTGTGATGCTTTATGATTTCGTCCAGTCGGTGAGACATACGTGGTGATCAAAAAGAAGAAGAAGAAGAACGTTGAAGATTAAAGCTTATCGAAGGATCAGTGTTTAAGGCAAGTATAGCATGGGATCATTCTTGTTGTTCTATACACCTTTAATCATTTAATTCATATTGCATGTGTCTACCTTGACTGTCACTAAGTATTTCCTAGTACTTTGACCTTGTGCCTTGATACCTATGGGGTATTGCATTGGGTAGTATGATGCTAGTGCTAAACTACAACCATGATCTTGTAACTTGACTAATGGTATATGCAATAAACATTAAAAGATGCTTTTTAGCAACATGGAACAAGGGTGCTAGAGCATTGGGTTATTTTTATGGTGCTCTAGATTTCTCTCCCTAAGGACTTATCTGTAAGTGATCATCTAGGACTTACAGTACAACCATGAGGACTACATGGCTCTGGTCTTAGTCTAGTACCTTGCTCTTTCTAGTTTGTAGCAGTTTACCGAAAGTGCAAGAGGGGCATACCAGGCTGGGTATGGGCCTCATCCCCAGGGTGTGTACTATGCTGCGTATATAAGTGCCACTTCTGGGGATGACTCCATAACACTTGGGAGATGGAATCCTTAGCGGCTGCTCTTTATTAGAACGACTGGGTAAAGGCTTTGTAGTGAACCCTGCCGACCTTCCTTGGTAGTGGGTCAAGAGGTTGGCCGCCTCGGGTGAAAGGGTAAATCACGACTCATGGTGAAAGTGTACATCCTCTGCAGAGTGTAAAACTGGTATATCAGCCATGCTCACGGTCAAGAGCGGCCTTAGAACCCTTACGGAATAGATGATCACTAATGGTTAACGATGATGAACACGGATGATACCGATGATGAATATGTTCATTAATGATTACTGTTTATGCTATTCATTATTCATGTTTACCTGATCATGTGTTTACATGGGCTTGTGGATAAACTTGTTGCTACTCAGTTGCTAAAATCATGACTCATTAAAAGCTAATCACAGTTGAACCAGTGTCAGCCTTTTGAGCCTCATGAACCCCATGTTATATTTGTTGAGTACGACATGTACTTACACTTGCTTTACTTTTCAAATATTTGGATGAAAATCCCGGATGGGTACTAGATTGCTAGAGTTTGGAGGAATTAGGCTTGTGATCAACCAGTCAGTTGTTTCTATGGATTAGAGTCTTCACCCGAAGATCGGAGTGTCTTTCCGCTGTTTGCTGTCTAAGGTTATATTCTTTATACTAATACGTTATGTATTTAAGCATTGTCTATTGATATTACCACTATTTGTAGCTATATGTGCGATTTAACTTCCTCGGCTCACATATGGTGTGTATCTGGTTTTGTCCTTAAAACCGGGTGCTACATTAGTGGTAGT